TCCACTGTTTTCAGGACTGCTTCAGTCCCATGCCTCTCCCTCACAGGGAAGTGGGGGCTTAATTTCCCACCTGAATCTGATTCGTATGGGCACATTGCTTGCTGTTCCCTTTGCCAGGAAGCAGTTTGCTGCATTTCTCACTCTGGGTAGGGTCCACTGGATCCAGGGATGGGCCGATCCAGGGGCCAGACCAACTTGGATCAGCCCACCCCTCCCTGGCTGGATCCACTGGAGCTGCAACAGCCCTGGAGAGGTGCTTCTCAACTAGACCCAAAATGCTGCAGTTTGAAAGGGCTGGGGCAGACCTCCCTCCCCGTAGGGCAGCCTGCATACTGAACCAGTCATTCCCAACCCCACCCCAGAGCAATGATTCCAATTAAACATGTACAATTTCATTTTATTTTTCCAAAACACAAAAATTGAGTTAAGGACCCAAGCAAGAACAGGTAAGTCTTCTAGTATAGTATAAATACAGGTAGAACCTCCCAAAACTGGGACTCCTTCATCCAGCAACATCCATGGTCCAGCAGGACCATCGGTGATCCTGGACCAGGGAGTTCTGGCTGGGAGCCCCAACAGCAAGAGAACTAGTGGCTCGGAGCCCAGCTGGGCTGGGGACCACCACTGGAGCCCCAATAGCATAGCAGGGGCTGCGGCAGCCCCAGTGACAGGACCAGGGATGTGGCAGTCACAGTAGCGGGGCTGGGGCCGGTGCAGGAGCCACAGCAGCCCCGATAGCAGGGTCAAGCCTGCAGATGCGGCAGGGGCAGCAGCACTGATAGCGAGGCTGGGGCCAGGGCAGTCCAGGCTGCTGGGGCCACAGCAGCATGGCAGTCCGGGGGAGGGGAAAATGGGGGAGCGGCGGGGGCCGGCAGCAGGAAGGAAAGGTAGTCTGGGGAGCCAGTAGCAGGGGACCTCCTCTAGTCCGGCAAATTCCCTCGTTCGGGACTGGTCGGGTCCCAAGGGTGCTAGACCAGAGAGAAGTCCAACTTGTACTAGCCTATATATTTTCTGTACACACTGTGCTATACATTTTCAACCTTCTCTAGGTCAATTAGGGCATGTCTACACAGCAGGGCTAAAGCCAAAATAAGCTACTCAAGTTGAGCTACGTCAATTGTGTAGTTTAAGTCAAAATAGCTTATTTTTGTTTTCGGCATGGTCTACCACAGCAGGAAGTCTGAGCAAGAGCACTTTTCCTCCAACTTCCCTTACTCCTCATAAAATGAGGGTTACAGGAATTGGAATAAGAAGTCCCCCAGTTCGATATTACTTTGACATTATGTCGAAATGACTGCTTGAAGTGCAGATGCGGACTCTGTTACTTCAGAATAACATCAGTTATTTCAAAATAACACTGCTGTGTAGACGTACCCTTAGATGCCACAAAAAAGGATTATATCTGCAAACGATAAAACAGTTGAATTAGAACTTTGATGCATTATATTTAGGCACAAATTTACACAGTAAGTATTGGGGCTGAGTAACTACTCTTTGATGTGAAAAATAAATGGCAAGCTGGAGAAAAGTACTCTATATGATGCCCATCCCCGAGGAACTACGGATAGCTGGGAACTTAGCTTTTCCTCCTTTTAGTAACAGAGACTAAAAATGAGTAATTTACATGAAAAAAATATTATATTCAAAAGTGTCTGGAGTATGGTTGCATAGTAATATATATTGTATAACTGTATATGGACTTTAGCCCTGAATGATACCTGTTGATATTTGTCTGGATCATCAATATATCCCATTATGATACCCAGGCTTTTGATCACAGCTTCTCGTACCAGATCTGCCTTATCTTCCATTAGCATCTGTTGCAGCATGGAAAGCACCAATGAACTACGAATCTCTTTCTAAATATGAAGAGAAAGACATATCTGCTAAATGTGTAAATTGGGTAAATAGTTACTTTGCACTTAGATAGCAATATCCAAACATTGTATTTTATTCTCAGAATACTCTTGTGGTTAAGTATTATTCTCATTTATACCAGAAGAATGATGCACATTATCAGCAATTTTCACAAATCCCACTATAAAGTCTATGTGCATCTAGGCATAGAACCCAAAGTCCCCTAATTCCCCACTAGAATAATCAACTGCAAAAGCATACAGTAACTTCTTGCTGACTTATCTGTTGTCATATCTAAACACACACACACACACACACCTCTATCTCATATGCTGGAATGCAATGGTTGTCAATATTTAATTAAATTCTTTTCCTTTACCATGCTGATCTGATTATAGCAATTTTGGCTACAGAAGAATTTCAGCATCTGAACTACACTATATCATGGCTAGGCAGTTAGATTTTAACCTAAAAAAAGGTCAGCATGGAAAAAGTATTTGCCAACAGTTACAACATAACAGCATCTGAGACAGAATAATTCTTCCATTCATATTGAATTCAAACACTTACTTTCTTGGTATTTCTACTATGATCACTATGGTATCTGAACAGATTACAAAAACTGGTTACAATAGTAAAACTAGTATTTCCCTCTAATGGTTGGAATCAACTGATAACAAGTCTTAATTCAGAAGAGTCTATATTTAGAAAACCACTTAAACATTTGCTTATGACCTAGTGAAAATACATCAAAGACACCAATTTTCCATTTTGTCCTGAAATGAGAATTTTGTTTACTTCATTTATCAGAGTAGGTATGGAAGGGGAGGTAAAATGGATTGCATACCCCGAACTCAGCTTCCAACACCCATTTGGCTGACGTGATTCTCCCCTATGTGGGCAGAAAGTAAAAGATTGTTGGCAGAAAGTACACAGAATATAGATGCAGCTTGGTTTTGCAGTGCATTATCAGCCTGTCAAAACTGATGATTAAAAGCTAAGTGCTCAGTAGCAGACGTAGAGGAAGCAGACGGTTCTCTTTCTCTGGAACCTTTTCTTCCTTGGCAGTTCATAACATCTCTGGAATTCTGAGAATGATGTGGGACGAGATTATTTGTGTCATTTGGGATCCAAATGGTGTGTAAATCCAAAGGGATCTTAATGTGGTTCTGGAATTGTTAAGAGTATGCAAGCACTCATCAGGAGATTCAGCAAACAGGTTTAGCCCATCAAAGAGACGATCCTCAGCTGTGTTTTGGACCTGCCTTGGGAATCCAAACAATTGGGACCAAAATGCCCTCTCCTGTAGAGATAAATCAAGTGGCAGCATTGGCTAAACACAGCAAGACCTATAACAATGTTCTATCTAACAGCTGAACCTTGTTAATCAGAACCTGAAACTGCTCATGCTAACCAGCCAGCAGATGATCAATAAACATAGTGAATTTGGCATAATTTGAATGACTGTACTTCACCACAGGAGCTCGATAGGTGGCAATCAAACTCAAGAGTCAAAAAGAGTACGTCTATCTGTCAAATATATCAAGCCGTTTTGGGGCTTTATTATATGATGTGACCTTTCCATGGTGTAGCCTGCCCATGCAACTAAGAAAATCGGTGCTAGATGGGTGAACAAAAATTCAGAACATAATATTTGCATACTGATGGTATCATCACAGGGGTCTACCAGATGGATTTGGCAGGCTCCAATAGGGACTCATTAATAGGCAGGGCAACTTGAGTAGAGAGTCAACTGAAGAATATCCAGGAACTTATGCTGCAATTTCCTGACCCCTTTTAAAAAGGGATCCGTAGAGCAATTCATCAGACCCTTCCAGAAGTTAAAGTCATCAGCCATGGACACTGACAGAGGAATAAACCACCTAATCTTGAGAAGATGAAGAAATATTTGAGGACTTGCCTCTAACTGCACTGGCCTCCAGCTCCTGCTGCTATTGTGCCTGAGGCAATGGAGGAGGGACATTTGGAGTATCCCCACATCAAAGATTAGGAGCAAGAGAAAACAGCTGTCAATATGCAACCAGATCTCAGTATCGCCACATGGAGTCTAAAAAGTGTTGGGGTGGTATCACTGGTAAAGCCCAGTGAATACAAAATTTGTATCTGCATCCGCATCTGTATCTACAAAAATGAGTCATGGATAGCTGCATTAACATCCACAGATGTGGAAACCTGTGGAATTGCAGGACTCTAATCACTCGTGCTCAAACTAGGTTGGGGGAACATGTACCTGTATGATGTAACTTATCACTTTTCAAAAATGTCAAGAAGGAGTTTCTTATCTAAAGAGAAGGGGCATCTTGGACTGAGATATTTGAGCTAGAGAATAACTCCTTATTAAGGGAGGGAGTCCAAGCACTGACTGAAGGTGGTGGAGAATAAAGCAATAAGGGGAAAGGTATCACCTTGGAGACTATGCTTACCTTGGTACAGGTTGCATCTCTAAAATCCGGGATTCTCTGGTCTGACATGACATTAGATGTTCCAGAGAGTGTCCTGCACGGGGGTGAGGGCCAGGGTGTTGTCATGTAGCTCAGCTGGGTGTGTGTGTGTGGGGGGGGGGGGGGCAGGAAAGCTGGGGGGGAGGGTCTGGCGGAGTGGGGAGGGGATGGCAGCAGGGGCCTGAAATGACCTCCCTTGGTCTGGAAAAATCCCTCATCCAGGATCAGTCAGATCCGGATGGCACTGGACCAGGGTGGTCCAATCTGTACTGATCATCTTTCATAATCCATTAACAAGGGAGACTCCAACTCCTCCAAAACAATACGTTCCCGGAGATTTTGAACTCCTGTGGTACCAGATAGTATACCTAGTACTGAGGGAATATGTTTATTTGGAAAGTCCCTTCTATGTAGTCAGTACCAATGAGGATGCCTAGAGAGGCACAAAGACTGTTTGAGAAGAGTGGTATCTGTCTAGTACCTATGCAGGTTTACAGGTCACATCTGATACAGTCAATACTGAAGGAGTTGTGGGTACTATTCTCTTACTGCAGTGCCCTGCTTCTGTGATGCCAAAGGTCTTGGTACCGAGGCATGATTGTTGCCCTTATTCTCAGAGGAGCCTGAAGCTCTGGGCATTGTGTTGGTAGTAACAGCATATGGTACTTCAGTTTATCCAGAGTTGGGAAGAGGTCTTTGTGGCAGTCCTCCTTTGTAGGAACCTAGGTGGGTGGGTGGGTGAGGGTGTCGGTGTGTGTCCCCCCCCCTTTCTTTGGGTCTTCATGGATTTGCCTCAAGACGACGTGAGTGAACCCAATGAAGTCAAGGGTGCACTGTGTTCACTCAGAGCCTGATATCTTCTGATCTAAATCTGAAGCCAACTGGAGGAAATTCTCCATCATGAAGAATCTTGATTTAATAATTCTACCTTCTCCCACCTTTAATAGCATAGAAAATGGAACACTTTTGCAGGATACAATGTTTCTAAACAATAGATACAATGGGAATGTATGACACTGATCCAGATGGCCTCTCAGCAAGAGACACTCCAAGAGAGCTTTTGGTTATTTGATTGGATAAGATCTCCCGCAAAAGGGGAATGGGACAAAAGAAATGCCCCTCCTTCCCAAACAAGCAGATACATACATGGGCCAATGGGTACTACCACTAAAAATCTCCAATTAAAGGTGGGAGGTGAGTACACTTGAAGCAAAGCGCCTATAATGGAGCACTTTTATATGCAAATGAGAATACATAATGTTACAACAAACATCAATGCCTCAAGGTATTTCCCCCCCCCCCTTTGAATGTGAAAGTGGGAAGTGATAGGGTAACAGCCCAAGCCACTTGTTCAGGGGTGGCCAAATGGCAGCTAGTGAGACACATGTGGCTCTTTTACAGAGAAAGTGAAACTTGGAGAGCTTCCTCCCCCCTCCCATACTCTGCTTATCGGTCTGGGGCAGGGGGAAGAAGTTAGGACTCCTGGGCTGCAGAAGCCCCCCTTTGAATGTGAAAGTGGGAAGTGATAGGGTAACAGCCCAAGCCACTTGTTCAGGGGTGGCCAAATGGCAGCTAGTGAGACACATGTGGCTCTTTTACAGAGAAAGTGAAACTTGGAGAGCTTCCTCCCCCCTCCCATACTCTGCTTATCGGTCTGGGGCAGGGGGAAGAAGTTAGGACTCCTGGGCTGCAGAAGTGGGCATTCAGCAGTAGCGGGGCTGAAGCCCCAACCCTGGCAAGAATGCCTCATAACTCAAACTTAGGAAGATTTTTTTCCTCTTACTTTCTAACAAAATGTTAGCAGTAAATACAAATACTTACAGGAAGGTAAGGTGCTAGAGCTCCGCAGGACTCTGCCACTAGTAATCGTCTCTCTGGGTATTTGTGATTGATCTGGTGAAGAGAAATAGAACGTTTATGTGGCTCATCAAGATTTTGTCTGTGAGGATCCTCCACTTAAATCACCCATGAGTTTACGGCACACAATCTCAGATTTTTTTTGAATAGCAGTTTCCACAGGGCCTGGGGAATATCAGCAGTATCAGACAAGTACTGATTGTAGTACCACTCTCAAGCCTGATAGCTGATTTATCAGCTAAATCCAAGGCTTCATGTTTAATATGGGTCAGTGGGTTACTCCACATTGTCACCTCACAGATTTCTGATACTGGTAGATTTCAGAAGCAGGTGGAAAATGTTACTTGTGTTCTGGTGCAATAGACCTTGAAGTTCACTGGGAAAAGCACTATAGCCACCAGGTAAGACAGTAAGATATCTTTTTGTGTGTGTGCTTGTAAAGAAATTCTTAGAGTGCCTAGCTATGACTAGAAAGAGAAAGGATAACAGTAACATTATGAGTGTGTTAGTCTTGTTGATGTAATGAAGCAAAAGTTCTGGATATATTTAGCATGAACAGTTTCTTCTTTTCTAGGGCAGAGGGCAGCTCTGGGAAGAATACAGGCACATTAATTGACTGATTTAGATAAAACTTCAAGAGTCTTGGGAACGAATGTTATGCAAGGTCTCAGCGTTACCTTATTCTATTGAATGTCATATGCTGGGGATCAGCCTCAAGAGCCTGAAAGCTCAATCACTCTCCTGGGCAAAATTATAGCCACTAGTAAGACAGTCTTCAGAGTAAGGGGTTGTAAGGTACGTTCTATGAGAGGCTCAACTGGAGCTAGAGATGTTAGATATTGTGTATTTCAGTAATCGTGTAGCTGCAACAATTTTTAGTGGTTACATGGTTACTGAAGTGCTCCCTGGGGGTGGGGCTGGCAGCAGTGAACTCCTGGCCTCACTCCTGGGGAGCCCACTGCTTCTGGCAGTCCAAAATTTAGGAACACCCAGAGAACGAGGCTGCTTTCCTGATTATCTTGGATAACAGTCTCTCATGGACCTATCCTCCATGAACTTATGTAATTATTTTTTGAACCCAGTTATAATTTAGGCCTTCATAACACTCTTGGCAATAAGATCTGCAGAATGACTCTACATTATGTGAGTAGTTCCTTGTTTTAAATCTGCATAAAAAGCAGGTTTAAAGCAAATCCTTAATAAACTGCTGAAGTTTTCCTTTTGTAAGCATGAAATACTCAATTACCTGTTCCCAACATTGTGGTAAGAGCTCAGCTTCTACACGCGTTGGTCCAACATGTCGAGCAAATGCCACACAACCAGTCAATATCATCTGTCTGAAAAAGAGATCAAAATCTTTAACCCTGTTTACACTGTAGATATTTTCCTACAATAAACATTTTATGCCTCCATTATTTGGGTGTTTTTTTTGTTTTTTTTTAATAAAGAAAAGCAGATACAGTAGGATTATTTAGAGATAACTGTTCTTAGTCTCAGAGGAGTAGCTGTGTTAGTCTGTAACTGTAAAAACAACACACAGTCCTGTGGCACCTTAGAGACTAAAAAACATATATATAGTATCATGAGCTTTTGTGGGCAAAACCCACTTCTTCAGATGACAGGATCTTGAATGGCTATTTTAAGATATACATTTTCAATAATTAAACCCCCTTGCTGCACATTAGTTTAATACTACTCTATTAGAATATCAGTGCATTAGTGAAAAAAGGCACTACTATATAAAGACATTTTTTGCCTTCAATGCACGATGAACCTTAATAGCAGACAATGCAATTGTTTTGTCTAATTTTGAGAGAAAGTTAATATTTTAGGGCATGTCTAAACCACATTCCTCTGTCAAAAGAAGAGTGTAAATGACCCCAATTGAAAATGCAAATGAAGCGCGGATTTACAAATCTTGTGCTTCATTTGTATAACCACGCGAGAGCGCTTTTTCAAAAAAGAAACCACAGCCTAGACGGGGGGGGTTTGAAAAAACCCTCAGGAGTATGGGTTCTTTCGAAAAAGGGTCTTCCCCCCCCCCCAAAAGAACCCCATCAAGTCTGCAGTTTCTTTTTTGAAAAACCCTTTTTCGAAAAAGCGCTCTTGCGTGATTATGCAAATGAAGCATGATATTTGTCAATCCGTGCTTTATTTGATCTTCGATTGGGCTCATTTACATTCCTCTCTCGACAGAGCAATGTAGTTTAGACATAGCCCTACTGTTCTGATATGTCAGACCATGCATGAAGTCTGACAAAGAAAAACTGTTCATAACTAAAGTATTAATAACTTTTGAAAATGGTATTTTGAAATGGTCAGCTCAAATAAAATAAGGAATCTAGTTCCTATGACAGAAAATTGGTCTCATGAGCTTTTAAAAGAATGATCCTATTATCTATCAGAAAGATCTGAAATCTTTAGAAGTACTCAAATAAGTAAAAGGTTGGGAAAACTATGACTCAGACAACTTGCTATGCAATCACTGTAGTTTAAAAACTTGAAGGGTAGGAATCTCAATTTCTTTATGGAGCTCTATCTATACTCCTACTTTACAAAAGCAAAACTATTCCTCTACAGAGCTGAAAATGTGTTATATGTTTAACATTTTACAGCAAAAGGTTTGATTAAGTTTTACCTCCTTCCCATGGCTCTTGATTACCAGCTGAATGGTTAAACCTACATCCAAAAAACTGAATTTTACAATATAAGCTAGCTCATGATACACAATAAAAGTAGCAGGAAAAGCAAATTCTTCAAAAACCACTTGGGGATACCAGAGCCTCAATGCAATGTTTTCAAATATTTGATTTCAAGAATCATCTGTTTTTCTAAGGATGCCCACATGGAACCAGAGTCTATGCAAAGTGCGTACATGTCTCCTTGTCACTTAAAGAGGAGATGAGAACAAATTCAGGAGACAGAACCCTGGTGAGACATCAGTAAGGAGGTTTTGTTTTTGTTTTTTTACTTCTGAATCCAGAATACACAGGGGATTCAAGTCAAAAGAACCTATAAAGTCTCCTTACCTAGCACTTGTGACATTCCAACTTCTACTTAATAAATGACTATCGTGCTACAATTTTGCCTGTTTTTGCCTGAGTGTACAGCTGGTCCCCGAGTTGCGAACGGTCGACTTACAACCGTTCGCAGTTACGACTAAAACTGTCGAAAATGGCGGACCCCGAGTTATGAACGTGATCCGTGCTTATGAACAGCGCAGTTGCGTGTAACTAAATGGGGTCCGACTTACGAATAAACAGAGTTATGACCAATTCCTTGGTCCGTAACCGGTTCGTAAGTCAGAGAGAGGCTGTATAAGATTAGGGTTTTATTAACTTGGCAAGTAATATACTGATTATGTTCACAGCTGCACTTGATAGAATGTTAATATCTACTAACCATGTCAGCACTCAAAATAAATTGTGTGTACATTTTAACACCTTCGCATTGAATGGATATAATACCATCCCTTCAGTAAGATTACCATTCTACTTGTGAATTTACACATAATTTACTGAAATCACCAAGAGTGCATCAGTTTATGGTGTTAATTAATGGCATACCGATAACTTTTAAATGCAGCTCAATATGACCTTAAGGTTGAAAGGCAGGATTTCTGCTTGTTATTTTTCACCTACACATGATGCAGCAACCAGTCCTCCAAAAAAAGAGAGGACCGCTCCAGAATGATTTCAAGATGGGAATGTTACATACTAAGGAAGGTGTAAGGAATGGTGGGAAAAACCTACTGCCCTAGTAAACTGATTTTCTTCTTTAGTCTGCACTGTATGGCACAGACCTTCAAAGTTAAGGAATAGAGTAAAAAAAATAGGAATTATTAAATAAGAATTAAGCTAGTCAAAACTGATTTGTAGGAGATGCAGTAATACAGTGGTTTCAAATGTTTTTCTCATGACCCAGCTGAAGAAAAATGATGCCTACAACCCAACATAATTACATCTTCTAACTTGCAGACTCTGAGGTGGGCCTGGGGCAAAGGATTCAGGGTGAGAAGGGGGATCCTGGCCAATGGGAGTATGAAGCCAGGCTCATGGTGGGGGCAGCGTCCGTAGCCCCACAGGAGCTGGACCTGCTGGTCAGTTCCAGGATGCAGCACAGTCCTCAGTGCCAGGACAAGCAGGAAGCCTGCTTTAGCACCACTGTTGATGACTCTATAGCAAGGTGACCCAGTGCCTGATCTTCCACATCCCCAGTACTGGGTTGTGGCCCATAGTTTGAAAAGTACAGTAGCAGTGATTTGCCCCAAAGAATCTTAAGATTGTGAGATGACAAAGTAGCTTTGCAAGTGTCTGCAGCTGACCCTTCTTTCAGCTTGGACCAGACAGCTGAATCTCAACATAAAAAGAGAGTATAATAATGAAAAGTTTTACTGAAGTATCAGAACATGCAGTTGTGATAGAACTTGAATACGACAGGTCTGAACTTTGTGTCAGAAGTGTGTCAATATTATGAAGTGTTATTTTATTATTTTAACTTGGCCGTTCACCTGAAACCACTTCGGTCTCCTCCGAACCTCACAACCAAGTTAGTTCAGATCTAAAAGTCTCTTATGAGACTGGGAAATGTAAATGCACATGTCAAAAGTGATGGAAATATAAACACTTTTTAGGATTTCCAGAACTTATTTATGAAGTTACTATGAAAGGCAGTCAAAACCAACTTTAAAATTGTCAAACTCAAAGTTTGAAAAACTTGGTTATGACTTTCATAAGGATATTTAAAAAATATTTTGTAAAGCCTGTACATGTTTGTATATATAGTCCCAATGCTCTTACGATTAAATTAAAACAAGTTCTTCCAATGGGGTGAATGTATACAATGTGATGGCAACATGCCTATGGGCTTATTATCCATGGACATTGTGTACACGGTCAAACATATGAAGTTAAACCCTCTGTCGATTACTTTATGTAGTTAGTATGCAATATAATTCACTGATGTTCAACTAGCTATTAACAAGTTTAATCACAAATGGGATCACCCTATAGCGTGTCAATATCATATTTTATCATATATTTTTATCCAAAGAAAAAAAAATGGAACTAAACCTGCTGACCTGATACACCAACCCTCTGTGCCCAAAGGCACTTATGAAAGTCCACCCATTACCCATCTGAGATATTGTATACTGCAGGTCTCTGTACAGTGATTGATTTTGAGTACCACATGAACACTATACCTAACAGATCATTATGTCTGAATGGTTTTTACTGTTACTACTTGCACGAGGCTATTGGCAAATGGTTGTAAACTGTTAGACACAGTATAAATAAAATGTGGATAAGATGTTGACTACGAACCAATGTTGAAGGGAAAACACTTGTCTGCTTGTAGCCAAACATTTTGATTTGGATTCACACATGTTAAAATTGTAGGGATAAGACTTGGAATTTAATTAGACATCTGAAATTTGAATACAGAAATCAGCCAATCAGCTGAGTATCAGAATTTTTATTAAGTTTACTGTGAAGATATGCACTTTGTTGGATAGCACTGTTAAATTTTCTGCTGGAAAATTGATACCTGGCATTTTCAGATATTACGCTACATTTTATAGTAAAGGGCTGAATGTGAAAGTTAAGCAAAATATTTTTGGTTCAGTTCACATTTATTAGTTGGAGAAGAGAGGTCTGATTACAGTTGTAAAGGGGCTCCTGGAAATCCAACTTGATAGAACTGCAATATATGAATCACAAATGACTAAAATTTTACAACAAAACCATGCAGCTCTTTACATTAAAGTATGGAATAACAATAGCACCAAAAATTTTATTGGGACTTCCAAAACATTTTAGTTGATAGCACTGCACATTTTGGAAGTGGAATTCATATGCCTGAAGATTGTAAAAAGGAACAAGGACCCTTTGCATACAGATTTTCGCACTGACTGGAACCTGTGCGCCATAGGTAGCAATTTTCAGGTTTGTGGGGAAACAAACATCTCACCACTAACTGCACATAGGCACTAATATACATTTTTGCGGAAAAGCGTCCGTGCCAATCTAGATGCGGTTTTGGGCAAGAAAGCCCCGATCGCCATTTTCACCATCGGGGCTTTTTTGTGCAAAACGGTTCTCAGTTGTCTACACTGGCCCTCTTGCGCAAAAGCATTTGCGCAGGAGGGCTTTTTCCGGAACGGGAGAGTCGTTGTATTTGCAGAAGAACACTGACAATCTTACATTAGATAGTCAGTGTTCTTGCACAAATTCAAAGCGGCCAGTGTAGACAGCTGGCAAGTTTTTCCACAAAAGCAACCCATGTGAACAACTGATACAGCTAAAACTCCTTTCTTACATGAGAATGTTGTGAAAGCAGAGAGAATCTTTACGTAAACATACAGAAAATAGTTATTTATACCTGACTCAGGAGCAAAGAGCATTGACAGATGCAAATGCTTCACGGTAAGTCTTTTTAATGAAAAAATGGAAGAGACGTATTCCAGACTAATGATTAAGAAAAATGTTTCCACTATTGAAAAGAAACATACCAACTGGACTACAGTCTTTCAACCTTAAGGATAATCTTAACAAGAAAGTGTAAAAGAGAACACAGAACTATATTTGCTGAGTACTACTTAATGAAAAATGAAGTAAAAAATATGAGATCCTAAATCATTAACACACACGTAAATGAAAAACTTTTTATCCAACAAAACCAGATCTTAAAGTTTTCTGCAACTGTCTTGCAATAGCAGACAACAGTAACCTCTGAAGTTCTGGAACTGCTTTAGGTGTCAGCAAATTAAGGACTTATGGGTCCTGATGGGTAAGTGAGGAAGTTTTAAAAGACTGGTATATCATTAATATTTATACAGAAAGTATTAGATTTATTTGGTTTTCATTAAATAATATTTCAGTTCACTTTTCATAAAGGAACTGAAATATTACACCAAAGTTTGCAGAGTATATTCTTACATTTCAGTAACTATAAATTACACATGAAAGTGCAGGTCATACAAATGGAAAGTCCCAAAGTCCACACGAGTTTGTTACCACAATGTCAACTGAATGAAAAGTGACTGGAAAAAAAAACCCAATCAATAGCCCTCTAAGAGTATCCAATTTCCATTAAACTGGCTTCTTTATCAAAAGAAGAAAGTACCCCTCGCCCCAGCCCAACACACACACACCTTTGCTCGTCATCTGGTCGTTTGATCAAATTGAACAGTATATGTAGGAGCTGATCTCTCTCTTTGGGTTCAGGATGGAGGCAGGCTGTACACAGTATGAGTGGGATCAATTCCTAAAAAAAATTGTGGGTGAAGGAAAAACCAAACAAAGTAAAAATGCTTTGGGCAAATATTCATTAATGGCAAAAGAAAGTGAAACAATATAGCTAGCCACACAAGAGCAAAACACATTACACAACACATTTTAATTGAAGCTTTTCTTATAAAGTGACTTGAAAATGTTGAGACACCTATGAAAATCATTTGCTATAGGCCTCCTTTTCACTACTTGGAGAATTCAGCACAAACTATGAAGCTTCTGAAGATTATTAGTGTTAACATTTGAAGATCACCTCTAATAATAACTATAAAACAATGATAGCCAAAGTTTAATCCACATTATCTGCAGGAACTTTTGTTAATTGAACAAAATAAGTTGGTTACACAAAGTTCATTCTGGAAAGATAATTATGTCACCATGGAGTCAAGAGAAAAACATATCCCTTTCACATTAGCTGATCACACAATTTTGTACATACATTTGAATGTAACTGTCAAAACAATACATGGGTACAAGAATTCGCAGACATGCCCTTAAGGTATTTATATGAAGCACAGTATGCCTTTAAAAAGAGGATTTTTCAATAAAAAGGAAAAATATGAAATTGAATTCTCTTCCGAGCAATAAAATTCCCATAAGAACAAACTTTTATTTAAAACCATACTGCAAAACATTAAATGAAAAGAAAAAAGGCTGTTCAGAATATAGGAACCTCTTTCCTTTCAGATACTTCCTCAAAACCTGATATTAATTCTCAAAGGAACTAGTTTTTAAAATATGTGGACTGGAAATCCCTTTCCTTGACCTGTCACTTTAGTCCCCATTTGGAAATGCACAACCGCCTAATTCGAAATGATGCTTAAGAAACTTCATGGCAGGATAGACAGAAAAAGTAGTGTCTGTTTACGAAGTGTCTTAAAGAAATGCGCTCATTCAGCAATTTTTAGATTAACAAGCAATGAAAGGCAAGCAAGAATAAAGTACAGAAATGGGAAGATACGGCTGCTGTAGCTACTTTGCACAGAGACTTGAGTTTCTGCTTCAATCAGATTTCTTGAATGGAAGCTTTTCCTAATTCAGTAAGTGACACTGATGGACTAAACGCTATGATGGATAGGAGTGTAACAATGCAAGCTCACTTCTCTTGATTTTTCAATTTCTCTAATGACTCAATTTTACTTATAAAATAGTGAGTATTGTACATATTGGTCAATTCCTTACAATGGAAAAGCTATCTTTGCACAGTTTGATTTGTGTGGCAGATTGTGTGGCATGCAGGTTTTCACCTCTGGATAGTAACGAGATGCATACATATATTAAATACATATAATGGTCTGCAGGTAACATTTAACCCAAATGAGGTACATCTTGGGGAATTATAAGTAAGGCCTTGTCTACACTGGCAAGTTGCGTCACCAAAAAACCCGCCATTTTTAGTGAAAAAAACCAGAGAATGTTCACATTGCAATGTGACAAAAAAAATCCCTGACAAATGCCCAATTAGAGACAAAAAATTTCCATCTCCACATGGAACTTGTGCCTATCCAACACCTTTATTATCAACAATCTTGAAGAGTCTAATACAGTAGGTTTCTTGTTGAGTTTATTGACTTCTAGCATGTTTTCAACAGTGCCTGATCAGTCACTCTGGTCAGCCCTTTGAACTCTGCTGCTCTGAAACCATGTAAAGAGTCATTTTCGAGTGTCTGGCTCATTGCGTAGCAGTACTCATGACATCTTCTCAGGGAAACAGGAGTGGCTATTGCTCCAAAGGCTCTCCCACTTAAGATCCAAAAGCTCTGTGGTGCTCATCAGTGTGTGGGGTGAGGAATCAATGTAATCACAGCTGCAAGTGACCTCTAAGAACTGGGACACGTATGGACACATTTCTCGAGCCTTGCACAAGAAGGGATTTGAGTTAAGCACCCTATAATGAAGAGCCAAGATAAAGATACCTCCGTAGGCTTACCAGAAGGCGAAGGAAGCAAACAGCTGGTCTGGTGCTGCACTCAAAACATACCATTTTTATAAAGAAATGAATGCAATCCTGGATGGGGATCCCATATCTACCCCTCAAGAACAGTGTGGATACTTTCCATAGTACAGAATCAGAAACAAGAGTTAGCTCAGAGACATAAGTTATTGATGAAGAGATAGAAGTGGATGAGGTTAGGTTCAATGTGGTAACAATCAGTGCACCAGACAGTGAGAAATTGTTCTCAAACCCCAATGTTTGTGAGGATTCTCAGCAAGTGTACGTGGAGCATAAGGAAGGGAAGAGACACGGGGTATGTTGCTGTGCAGATGGGGGGGGGGGGGAAGAAAGGGGGAAAGAAATGGTGTGGGAGGCAGCCATTCAGGGTAGTAAGCTGCACTAATGCAGCCAGGGGGAGAGGGAGGGGCGCTGTGGAGGCATGGGACAGCAAGTTGATCTAGTGCAGCCAGGGGAGGGGCGGTGGTTGTACAGAAAGGTAAGTTGCTGTGTATTGCAGGGGGTGGAGAGTGGCAACTCAGGAAATTGTTCTTGCAGCTGGGGAGGACAGCAGTGTGGGGCAACCAAAAGCTGCATTTTTGTGAGCTGGCTATGCCCTGCCTGGGTCTGAGTTATGTCCAAACAGATCATCAACGTACACAGAGATATTAATACAATCTTGCTGGGAGATGGTGTCAAAGCTTTTCCTGGGGTACTTAATTTTCTCACGGAGATTCCATAATGACAGAGCTGCCATTTCTCCACTGTAGTGGTATGACTCTCCCCGAAACCATTCCTCTTACTGTGCTGCTGGAAGCAAGGCAGCACAGAATTTAGCTGCATAAGGAACAGGGTGCCCCCTGCTCACATCCAGAAGATGATCCTGGGTTTGCCTGTTAACCTTCAGCAGGGATAGGTCAGCCAAAGTAATGGCAGTCTGAACAACTGTAGGATTATTACAAATGGTTTCCATGTAGATGTGGTCAAGGATGTGTTGCGTTATTCAATACAGGCAGTCCCCAGGTTACGTACAAGATAGGGACTGTAGGTTTGTTCTTAAGTTGAATCCGTATGTAAGTCGGAACTGGCGTCCAGATTCAGCCGCTGCTGAAACTGACCGCCAGTTCTGACTTACATACAGAATCAACTTAAGAACCCCAAGCGTCCCCAAGTCAGCTGCTGCTGAAACTGATCAGCAGCTGATTCCAGGAAGCCCGGGGCAGAGCAACTCTGCCTCGGGCTTCCTGTAGTCAGCGCTGGTCAGTTTCAGCAGCGGCTAAATCAGGCCAGTCAAAGTGTCAAAGTGGTTCCTCAGAGCCTCCTTGATATCGATGGCCACTTTGTGAGCTCCTCGGACAGCTTGAGTATCTGAATGTTCAAACTACGCATCCAGGCACTGTCTCATTGTTGCATCCAGGCACGGTGTCTCATTGTTACAGACATGGACCAACATCTCGCCCATACACACAAGTTATGTAACCACCCCCACCTAAGAATATGATCCCTGACAAGGTCCAGCCTGCCATAGAGATAGCTCCATCTCCCTTTCAAAAGTCTCCCTGCTAAAGTCACATTAAAAAACCACGCAGTATTGGCTTAGATTATCATCGAACCATTCCTTACTGCTGTCCAGGCGACCCAAATAAGGCTTCAATAGCCAGGCATGTAATGGGTAAACCATGTATCACTATGGGTATTTTCATCATCCCCCCTGTAATTTTCTGGTTTGGAAAGCAAGTCCCAGCATGCAGCTTTCTGTGCAGGCCATTGTTCCTGAAGATGCGGGCATCTCACACACCTTTCCAGACCACTCTGCATTTGTCCGAAATGTTCATGGTGATCCAAAAAGAGCCTGAAGCACCATGGAGAAGCACTCCTTCCAAATGATGTAGTCTGATGCAAGGTGGAGTGGCGCTACAATGGGAATGTATTCCATTGATTTCCCCAACACAGTTTGGAAAGCCCTTTTCAGCAAAGCCAGCCACTACATCATCCATATTGCCCAGAGTCACAATCCTACACAGCAAAATGCGATTTATTGGCCTGTACACTTACGTAAGTACGGCTCCAATGGTAGGCTTCTCCACTCCAAACTGATTTTGCAGCTGAACTGTAGCAATTAGGAGTCGCCAGCTTTTATGATGCAGTGGAAATACAATTTTCTATCAAGAGAGGAGCTCTCATTTGTGTTTCCTTGCACAGCAGTTCAGAGGCCAGCTCAGCACACAGCTCCAGGAAGGTTGCTTTACACATCGAAGGTTCTGTACCCACTGATCTGAATCCTACACCTGCATGACAATGCAATCCCAGCACTCTGTGCTGGTTTTCCTAGTTCATTGTGCACAGCAGCTCTTAGACAGCTCAATGGAATACCAATTTGGTGCTGTCCCTATCACTCACGTTGTCGTCCACATCCGAGTCTGTATCCTCTGCTATTAATTGCATACGTAACTCTGCTGCGATGTGTGGTGTTCAATGTACTTAGAACACAACATGGGAGAGAATTCTAGGATTCATGATTTCTCACAGCAGATGCTGGAGCTTGCAGTAAGGACTGTCATTCAAGTGGCACGAAAGTAAGCTGGAAGCCTAGGGAGGGCTAGAAAGCTAAAGATGGCTTTTTCACATTCCCAAGATGACTGACCCTACATTGCACATTCCCACAGTGCTTAGCGGCTGAAGGTGATGCCAGACACTATGAGATGCCTACCCATATTGTTAGCTCCCCTATTGACAAACAGCAAAACAATGTTTGATAAGTTTTCGGTTTTGTCGACTTCTGAATGTTGGCAGCACTTTCATCACCAAACACTTCTAGTGCAGACAGGTTATTATACATAAGGGTAGAAGGAGCATGGATGCCTCATCTACTCTTGCAAAATCCAAAGAGGTGTGGGTATAAATAACAGAGGCATGGCCAGTTTACTATTTCCTTTTTTTTTTTCTGATGACTATGTGAACAGGCACTTTTTATAGCATTTATAACATTTTAACGTGCCCGGGCACTCATTTATCGATCTCAAAGTCATCATATTATTTCA